AAACAGTTCCATCTCAAATAAAATTTAAAATATACATGCTTATTTGTTTAAAATAATGTGTGTTGGGTTAGCAATAATCATTTACACATCAATGTAAAAAAAAAACACAACGAAATGTGAGAAAAATTTTTGTAAAGTTACTCTTTTATAATACTACTGTATTAAATTTTACATAGTTAAGGTATGTCCATTTGTTAATTCAAAAAAAGGGGAAGAAGTTTACAAATTTTTGACAATTGTTTACAAGGGAAAGGGGGGAAGTCAAGAAAAGTTTACGCCAATAATGTTACTTTATATATTAAATTAAATAATTAATAAAAAAAAGATTTTTCTTTCATTAAATTTTCTTAATAAGGTTAGGGAGGGGTAAGGGAAAGAAGAGTAGTCAAATGTTGACGCAATTTAATAAAAAAGGGAGGAAGCGGGCTTTGGAGTTTGGACAGATTTTTGACAAGGGGAGGGGAGGGGGTAAAAATTGCCAAAAAATTGGTGACATAGTTAATGGACAGCCACGAGGTAGACTTTGAAGATTCAATTTTATTAGCCTGTAATAGGTATTTTCCACCTAGTTATATTGTTATTCATATTACTATTGTTCATATTCTCTAACACTGATTAGATTCCAGGTCTCTAACACTGTCCAATACTGCTAGTTAAACTCTATCGCTTCCACCAACAAGTATGGAGGTTAAAAAATCATTTAGTAGCCGATATTTCATTCAAAATTAAAAGCAAAATAGATTTTGATTTTAAATACAGGTCCCAGTTTAGACAAAAGCTGGATGTGTCATGGTACAGGTGTCCCCACAAAGTTAGGGGTCCTAAAAACTAAAGATAAAAAAGTTGATTTGTGTTTTATGATGCACCTGGGCGCAGAAATGCAAAAACTATTTCTATTTACACTATCAATAACTTGGCATGCCAACTGCACCAGTTGTCATGCACAACATTTGAACGAGATCTAGGAGTTGTTATGACTAACAATCTAAAGGTTAAAAAAGAAGTTTTCACGGCTACATCAGGTGGCAACTGAATGCTTGACATGTTCAAGAAAGCTTTTCGAGGTTGAAATTTAGCATTATGGCGCACACTATAAACTTCATACGTTCACCCGCATATAGAATTTGCAGCCATTTCCAAGCTCAAGACGTAGCCCAACTTAAACAATTTCAAAACCGAGCCACAAAACATACTGTCAACTTCAAACACTGGCCGTATATTCAGAGACTATCAAGAATTAACTTGACAAAGCTAACCAAGCCACGAGAATAAGGAGATCTTATTGAGCAATACAAAATCATTTCCAAAATCAACAAAGTTAACTTCTCAGTCCCTCAGCTTCAACCAAACACCGAGTTTTTAAACTACAGTCTCCGACCGCGTGAACAAACAAAACAACTGAAAGCACAACTTGTTGGAAACTGTGCAGGAAGAAACAACTTCCTCACTAACCGTGTTGTCAAACCATAAAATGCTTCTATCCAAAATGCGGTAGACTCAAAGAACCTGAACAATTTTAGATATGAACTTTTTTGCTTTTGGCGTTTTAACTTTATCTAAAACCTAAAATTTTCATTGCAGGTTTGGCCTGGTGTGCCGCTCTTTGACAATATCTTGCAAATTTTTTAGAGCTCTAAAAATAAATAAATCTGGGCTAAATCAAATGTGACTTTACAAATTTTTAACTATTTTCTCCTCTTCTTGGCACAAGGTGTCACAAAAACGACCTCTTACCCTAAAGCGTGACGTAATTTGAAAGTAACCTCTAAGATTTAATATTTTAATATTATAGGTTTCAATTCTTTTAAATTTCAAAACCGTTTTACTCTTTTAAAGAATATATAAACGCAACATTTTTGTGGTCATTAGTGTTTATGACCGTCTTTTTGATCTTATAAACACTGTACAAACACTAATATTTTAAAATAAATCTATTTATAAACACTGGTTTTATTAAAATTATTATTGTTTGATTGGTCTTTAGTTAGATATAGAGATTAGCTGTTTAGTCTTAGTTACAGGGCCAACAACACCAAGGAAGGGAGGAAGACGGGGGACACGTGTCTCCCCACTTTTCTAAATGTTTTTTTTCTCTAGATATAGATAGAGGACTTTTTTGAGAAATTGACGATTGTGCCCCCCCCCCCCCCACTTCAAAACCCGTGACGTCGGCTCTGATTTAACAACCATCGGTATAAAGGACCACTGTGTCTGATTGGTAGTTATTTATAGCTATCAGTTATTTGGTCTTAAATTTTTTGTAGCCATTAATTATTTGATTTTCAGTTTTATATAACAATAAGTTTTATGATTTTTGTAACCAATACTTGTTTATAACAGTCAGTTATTAACCACTATCGCTTTTTTGATCATAAGTTATTTATTTATTGTCCTGCATAGTTAATTGCAAACTTGCAAACTTAAAACCAATATAATTAATCTATTTTCATAAATTGTTGTTAATATAAAAGAAATTTATAGTTGTCTGTTAATTAAAACTCTAAATTATTCATAACAGATTATTCATATTAGATCCGTTAGACAAAAATAAAAGAAATGTCATAAACAACTTGTAGCTAACATTTTTTTACAAACTAATCAGCTATAAAATATAGTATTAAAAAAATCAGCTTTAATATAACCAGCTATAAAAATGTGATAAAACTATAATTTACATCTGTTAGTTATTGAGCTGTCAGTTTATAATCGTCTCGTTTTTTAAGTACAAAGTTGTTTTCAATAAAATTGCAAGCAGTCACTGACTATAGTGTTTTAAAGAATTTGAGCTATCTAAAAATAACATTTAACAAGATAACATTTAACAATAACGTTTAATTTTTAATAAGATAAGTTTTAATGCAAAACTTAAAAATAACAAGTTAAATGAAACGGGACAATTTTAAACCAAATAGTTTTGTTAAAAATTAAAATGTTTTGTACTAGCATTATTTCAAAAGAATGTTAATCTATTTTGAACAGCATCATGTTAACAATACGTTAACAAAGAGAGTAAACTTTACAACAATGCAAATTTAAAAGTATTCGCAAGTCATTTTGAATAACTTTTACACTTCTAAAAAAAATTGTTACAGTTACGACCAAATAGACCACCCATTATTTATAGCGACAAACCGATTTAATTAAAATAAAAACATACATGAACATAAGAAAGCGAAGAAGTCATAGTGTAAAACATGTTTTACACTTTTAGATTTCGCAACATTGAGACTACAGAGGATTCATAAAAACTATTCGGAGGTTATTTTATGATGCCACAATTTTTTTATGGCTTTCCTCATATCTGTAATTGATTTTGGGTTCTGTTTAAATACATCTGCTTGTAAATTTATCCAACAGTTTTTGGATGGGGTATAATTCGTGTGAGATACTAGGCTACGGGACAAGATTATTAATTGCATTTTTTTGAAGCCATGTCTGCGAAAATTATTTTCTGATTGCAAGTTGCCCCGCCATGCATTAAAACAATCTATCTTCTAGTTCGAAACCATTAAGACACAATGTTAATCGAAATTTTCAAATAATTTGAGTCAACTTGTTGTAAAAGGTGTAAACCACCACAACCGTTGGCAGCGATTATACCACAAATCATAGTTGTTGGAAATCAATTAACAGAAAGTGCAACAAATTGGGATCAATGCCCAAAGTGGGTTTGGCGGACGGCAAAACATGACGGACGGCAAACATTGCTGAAAGCTGCTTAATATTTTTTAGAGAATACGACACCTCGCCACATTTGAGACAACTCGCCACATTTGAGACAACTCGCCACATTTAAGACACCTTGCTACATTTTAAAAGTTCAATTGAGTAAGAATTTTGAGCTAGTAACCACATTTTAAAAGGCACTAACATTCACAATTGAGTAAGAATTTGTGAGCTTGAAATCTGTGTGTTGTTAGAGAACATATAGATATAAAAGCCAAATGGTGTATCATGCTGTTGATTTGAATTGGTAGTTCTTGATCTTTAACTGGGTTTTTCTAAATTAATGCCATCTGTTGACTTGAAGCTCTAAACGATATCATGTTATCTTAAACAATCATTCGTTATTTGCTTGCCGCCTTCTATTAAAAATTCCACTTGTGCTTGTTCAGAAAGTGCTGCTGCAGCCACACTCTTGTTCAGTCATTATTAATTAACACATGATTTGCATGTATATAAAAACATATAAGATATTTTTCTACTGGTAGATAACTACACAATCACCTACATAATGCGTAGGTTTATTTTTAACAATAATTGTGCTAACACATATTTTCATTTAAAAGTTACTTATAATAATTACGTGTAATCAGATCTAATTGGCCATAACATAAATTAAAAATGGTTCTGGTTCTAATTGGTTAAAGTCTAAATTTAACAGAGTTTGAATTTTAATTGTTTTGAATGATCTATTGTTTCTGTAGAAGATATTTGTTGGGCAAAACAGATCAATAAAACAGCAGAGACGTGTTTATTTGTCGTATAAGATAGTTTTAACTAAATTTAATGGATGAAAGGAATTCCAACTTGTTTATGCTCATACATATAGCAATAAAGGATGTTTTGCAAACAATGAAGTTATTAATTTTATTTCAAATTTAAATGCAGAATTTGAGCCAGCGAAGTTTGGTGTTAACGTTACATAATCATAATTTCCAAACAATAATTAGAAAAAACACACTTTATGATATATATGTTTTTTTTCCAATTATTTTTTTAGCTTAAATATGTAAAAAATTTAAAATTGAAACGTGAAAAAAAATTAAAAATAAAAAACATTAGATAAATTAATTAAACAAAAATTAAAATAATTTTAATTATTAATTTATTAATTAGACAGAAAATGTCTTTATTATAGGATACATTCTTTTAATAAATTCAATAACACCTATTTCATAAATAAATGTGTATGTACTGTATTGACCAATGATGGTGTATGTACTATTAAAACCAGCGTATTATTTCATTCCATCATATTCCTACAGCTTTGAATTTAGGATCTGGATGACATTAAATACTTAACAAATATAGATCGCAGACTACCGCGTTACGTCAGCCATTTACCTAATCAACTCTCAGATGAAAACTTTAATGACATACAGCATTTGACAAGGTACAATAGTAATTCGGACCACGGTGACCTTAACTATTATCAACCACGACACGTACATATTGGCGTTGGAACACCAAATGTAAAAGTTGAAGTAGAAACAAGTAAATCAGAGATAGCTCATAACCCTAGTGTGCATGTTTCATTTCAAGTAAGAGGTTTTTTTTACCATGCATTACAAGTAAGAAGTTTTATAACCATGCATGTTCATAGTTATATAAGTAGTTTATAGGTTAAAAAAATCTGACTAACAAGAATACCCAGTAGATATGCTTTGTCCGAGGACGTCAGTTGGACGTCTGGACGTCCGTGAGAAGTCCGATGGACGTTCCCCGGACGACGCGTGCCCACTGGGTACTATTATATTTTTAACTAAGTTTTTCAAAATTTTTTTAGAAAATGAGTGAAATAAAAAAGTTGGTTCATGAAGTATCTGATTCTTTAAAAAGAACAAACATCAAGCTAAATGCCCTAAAAAAAGGGCACACACCTAATTCAGTTGGTGGAAAAAGACAAATTACACCAGCATTTACACCAGTTGTTGCTGAGCCAGTTGGCGTACCTGATATGCGGTAAAATTAATTAACTTAGTTTAACTTTTTTTAGTTTGTGAGTTGAACAGTTATTTGAATCAACGCAAACTTATAAATTTTTAGGAGCTGATGCATATTTGATCTTTATCTTGTATTATATAGTTTATCTTAGTTCAACAATTTTTTATGTTTTTACATCGTAATGTTTGATTATTGTTTTAGTTAGTTGCGTTTTGTTTATAGATATCCAGTTCCAGCAGCAGACAGATATCCACTAGGAGCAGGGTAAGATTTTTAAAATATAAATATTAAATGTTTTTTCAATCAGATTTTACACCTAATATTCCTAAGAGTTATAAAACAATAAAATTAGATTACCTAATGACAAAATTGTGCATACACAATGATTTATTGCATTTTCTTTTATTTCATTCACTTACTTGTTTACTTGGAATTCGCCCATCTTTATTTTAAAAATCTTGTAATGATCTCTTTAAATTAATTCAAGACTACCAAGAACTTTTTAATTAATTGTAAATAAAAAAGATGCGCTACTCAAAATTGTTCAAACATTTTCGATGAGTTGTTAAAGTAATACTCTAGCCGCCATTTTTTTGCTTTCACATTATTAAAACAACACTTTGGCCGCCATTTTTTGCTTGCACATTATTATCGATTTTAATAAACTTCTAAAGCTATCATAAAACCACGAATATATACTGGTTGAGATTAAAATAATAATGATTGCAGTTTTTCTGCATTTTTGGTATTAAAAAAGAAGTAAATTAAAAACGATGCTGCGTTGTTTTTAAATTTGCATTCAAGTCCATGTGAATCATTAGGGGTCATCCATAAAGTATGTACGCTCATAGGGGGAGGGGGGATGTCTTCAAAAAGCGTACGAAATTGTATGGGGGGGGGGAGGTTCAATTTAAAAGTATGTACATCAATTTTCTAATTTATTACAATTACCCAGCTAATCAATAGAAAAGTTGAAATTCTGACTAAAGATCCTAGTTTGCCAACATAAAAAGATGTTTTGTATAGGGAGTAAGGGGTATAGTTTCCCTCAATGCACACACGTGAGTGCATTGAGGGAAAATCCTGCGGGCCCCTATGCATAAAAAAAATTTTGCGGGCCCCTAAGCATGTGTACACATGCATAGGGGCCCGCAGGACTTTTTGATGTTCCAGATAGGACACTTTCACACATTGTGCAAACTCGAAACTTAAGTATGTTTATACCTATGCTAAAGGAGGAGGCCTTGCAAAAAATTAAGAAGGCGGAGATCTTGGAGCAAAAAAGCCCTGAGACGCCCCCTTAAAAAAAAAGAAGGAAGGGTGTAAATTTTGTGTGGTCATAACTTATGTAATTTACAATATTTTCTTACGAAATATTAAATCTGTTGATAAATTTAAATTTAGTTTTAGATGGTAAAGTTGAAATTTTACTACATTAGTGTCCTCACGCTTTAGCAAGCGTTTTTGGGCTTTTTTGTTCCTAGGCCTCCGCCATCCCAATTTTTTGCAAGGCCTCCTCATTTGGCATATTTATACTTAAATTTTAGAGCTTGCACAAATTTCACACATTTGGCATAGACATATTTATGTTTGGAGCTTGTGCAAGCTCCGAACATTAGTATACCTATACTAAATGTGTGAAAGTGTTCTATCTAGAACATCAAAAAATCCTGCGGGCGCCCATGCACACATGCCACCTCTTATTTACTGGCCCTGAGTCAAGCGTATTTCAGGCAATATATTTTTTGAAGCGACAGAAAAAAGGTTTAGCAGTGTCGTGGCTAATGGGTTGGAGCCCCCCCCCTCCCTCCTAAAAAAAAACGTGTCACTTAGGCCTCAAAATCTTTCAAATTTTACCACTAGGTTTCGCTAAAAATAAAAAGCTCAATAATTTAACAAAAAGACAAAAAATATCTTATCCCTTTCTCCCCTACTCTACCCCCCCCCCCAAATTAAGGGGTACGGGTAGCCTATCCTCGGCACTGGGTTTTAGGCTTTGTTTTAACGGACTTACTAAATAGGGTTGCCTAAAAAAAGGTCCTCAAGTATAGCTTATTTTTGTTAGATTCATCATTGAAACACAAAAATTACAATTTGACTTGACAGGGGAACCAACACGGATCGCCGACGTCTCAGTATGTAGAACTAACCGCTAGACCAAGCGAACACATCGGTTAATGGAAATTTAACTATACTTAAATTAATATTTGCATATATATTTGAAAAGGTTTGTTAAATTCAGATTCTGTGCCACAAACGAAGAGGTTTTGGGTCGTATAAAATAGCTAAGGTACCTCCTTCACTTTTTTTTTTTTTTTAAAAAAACATTTTTAAAAAAAAAAAAAATTTTTTTAAAAAAGTGAAAAAGTTAAGCCAGGGGGGGTTTGAAAAACGTTCGTACTTTTTTGGGCTTAGAAGTACGCATGGCAACAGGGGAGGGAGGGGGTCAGATTTCCAAATTTTTGGGTACGTACTTTATGGACGACCCCTTAGCTGCTGTTAAATTATGCCAAAAAAAACAACCGTTTATAATATGAAAATTATAAAGAAAATTTTTTTAAGTTTTATATGCAACCAAAGTTTAAGTTTTATATGCAATTAAAAAGTTCATTAAAGTTAAACCAGTCAACTTTAAAGAACTTGAGACTGGTTCAACTTTAATGAACTTGAGTTCATTAAAGTTGAACCAGTCTCAAGTTCATTAAAGTTGAACCAGTCTCAAGTTCATTAAAGTTGAACCAGTTTTAAGTTCATTAAAACTAGTTAATGTGACATTAACAAGTTAATGAACTTTAAACATTTATGTATGAAATAACACAACCAAAGATGATAATACAGATTTAAAACAAAAACGATAAGGAATTGATTTTTTTGGTTAATCTTGGCTTAAACTTGATAATTTTTACAAAAAGTACAAATCTAAGCTGTACATAAAAAAATTGTTTTTGAGTTCCATTAAAAAAATGTGCTTATAACTTTTTATATCATTATACTTATTGGGCTAGGAGCTCTAGAGAACTACCCATCTGCAACTCGTACCATATTCAAATGTAATGGTTGTTATGTTTTTGAATTAGATATATTTGGCCATCAAGAAACTATGGACTTCATCATCATGGAGGTCCAGGTCATATGACATGGAGCAAATCTCACACTCCAAAAGCCATAAAGAAAAGTAACGAGAACGAGGAAAAAGATGAGAAAACCTCTATAAAAAGTGTAAAAGAAAAAAACAAAAAACAAAAACACAAATCAGGTATTGTATTTTTTTATTTATTAAAATGTCAACAAGAACACGAGCTTCAACTTTTAAACTTCAAATTTAACTTGTAAGTAAATTTAGTTTGATTGGATCGTCATAATAATGTTTTATTGAGCATTAATTTGATCGCTAACTAAAAGGGTTTTATTGAAATTTAATTCAGGGTGTTTTATTTTATCTTAATTATTTAAAAAGTTCTTGTCACTTGAGGTATTTTTTAAAAAATCAACCTAAATTTGTTTAAGGCAAACATCGACGCTCGGTTTCTTCTAAAACAAAAAAGCATGAAAGAGTTGGAACAAAAAGACAGTTTCTTGAGCATCCAATGAGTTTCCCACATGGTAACGGTTTTCCATATCACACAAGTATGTTAAACGTATACGATCTGTTATTAACAGACGAAGTGTTAAAAATAAGAAATTCAACAATTAAATTATAAAGTTTTATTCACGATGAAGTGTTTTGAATTTAAATTGTTTAAAATTGTATTGCTTCAATGAGTTAAGGTAAAGTAATTGTTTAATTAAAAGGATTTATAAATTAAATTTAAAACTAATTTTAGATTCTCCAGGTTATGGGTTTGGCATGGGCTACCCAATTCGAAGTGCAGGATTTATTGGACATGGTGGTATGGGAGGTTATGGTGTAGGTCATTTTGGTCATCGATATGGAGGACACATGATGAGAGGAATGGGAGGGTTTCATAATGGCGGTTATAACGGATATGGAGGTCATTCTTTAGTTATTCATAACCCTGTTCACATGATGGCTTATGGCGGAAATGGTTATAATGGAGTTAATGGATACGGAAGAGAAGGAAGTGGATTTGGAAGAGAAGGAAATTCTATGATGGACAACATGCCAATACATTCTACTCAATTTTCTGGTTTATCACATTCTGGTGAAGGATTTGAGGGTCATCATATTGGTATGAATGGAGGCTACTACCCAAGTCTACATGGTTTTGGTGGTGTTAGTGGTATTGATGGGGGTCATTCTATTGGTGGTGATTCTTTTATCAACCCTCCATCAAGTCACGGATCAGGTGAAGGTTATGGATTCCAAAATGGAGGAATTAATGGTGGAGTAGGAATGGGAGGAATAGGTGGTTTTGGGAGTGCACATCAAAGTTATCCTTCTGGATTAGGAGGAAATTTATACAATAACTTTGCTGGTTTTAATGGATTTAATGATTTTAATCATGATCATAACGAACTTCCAAGCCATGGATCTGGTATAGGCTTAGATCCTGGTATGTCAACTATGGGTGGTGATGTTATGCACTCAATTGGAATGGGTCATCCAATTGGATTAGCAGTGTCTCAAGGTGTTCCAGGAGGAAATGCAGGGTTAAATTTATTAGGAGGAGCAGGAGAAGTAGGAGGACCTATTAGCGGAATGCCAGGAACAGATTTACCAGGAGGACTAGGAGGTGTATCACCATACGGAGACCATGGTAATGATCAAGGGGGATTTCCTGGAGGAGAAGGTGGTTTACCAGGATTCGGAAGACAGAGTGAGTTTACATAATATTAAAAGTTTTTTAATTTAGAAAATATTTTTTTAGAACAAGCAACATACAGTACAATACAACCAATACTTAATATCATCCCATCAATATTTTATACCTCAAATCTAGAACCTTATACTAGGGAAGGGGGGTCCAAAATTCTATACTTCTTGTTACACCGGTTAATCTTAATTAATTTTTTGAGAGAAGTTCAAAAAACAATTCAGCTTCTACTTCTATTTTAAAAATATAAAGATATAAAAAATAAAAGTCTTCGCAAAAGTTTCTTTGCGTATAAAGTTACGCAACTTTTCTTTCAAATTTATGCTATTCAAATTTTGATTGGATAAATTTGATTTTTAATAGTTGCGTTTTAGAAAAAAAAAGTTTTATCTGAAGTCTTTTTCTAATAAAAAAAGTTTTAAATAAGTAAAACTTCCAAAAAAAAGTTTTATCTTAAGTCTCTTTCTAAACAAAACGTTTCAAGTAATCAAAAAGACAGATTGCTTCAAAATATCCTTATTTCCTTTTTTTTTTATTTTTAATCGTTATTCAAGCTATCAAGAAGGCTATTCAAGATTTCATTTTTTTTTTCGCTTTTCTTTAATGAAGGAATACCGCTACCTAAAAGGCTTTAAAAACAAACTGGATGATCAAATTTTGAAATTTGATCATCCAAAAATTTGCTTTACTCTAAAACGCAGTGAATAGCTAGTTAAAAAAAATTCTAGAAGCAGTTAATAAGTATACCTCAAAGAGGTTGGATAATTGTATCATTCTTGCTAGAGTATTTGGCAAAAGTTAGCCTCAGGACTTCAAAATAGAGAAAAGTATTATGTGTTTGGTTGATGACGGAATATGATTAGTATTAACTTTCTCATTAAGTTGTTGCAGTTGGAAAGCTTTGGAAAAATTTCATTTAATTTCAACAGTAGAAGTATACTTAATTATTTAAACCATATTAAAAATGAAGGTTCGCGTAGTTTAAAAATATTTTGGAAAATTATTGTCCAATTATTTGTCCACAAAGTTGAAACTATGGAATATAGTTGAAACCAGCTAACAAATGGATAACAATGGAAGAGCAGCAAACGTTACATCAGGTGTGCAAGATGAGTTCTATTTTAGTTTGATTAAAGTTAAAAGGCAGCCCATTTAGCTGTAAATTAGACATTATTGAAGTAGATAAAGATATGTTAAAATAATAAAAAAGTTCGAAAAATATGGTTCTTTATTTTAGGGATACAATGTAGGTTATTGTTGCGGAGGTCTATTCTGTTTAAATACATGATCATTGATATAAAAATACAAACCTCCATCTTATGTATACCAAAGAACACGCTCATAACCTAGATATTCTACAAGGAAAGTTCCCGCAGCAATCTCTATCACATATGATGGCTTTTATAGTTATTTTCCATTTTCAATAGTAAATAACAAACTGTATGGATTATTTTCATATATAATGCTTAATTTTTTTTGTTACTTATAATTGGTAAGGTATACTATTGATAAATTAAGCAGAAAAAGATTTCTACTTTTCTACTTTTCTGATATTTAATGATAATAATAACTTCATCTATTTTTAACAATGCCTTTTTTTTGTCAATATATTCACTTTTATTAAAATCGAAGTAGAAGGCTAAATAAATGAAATGAAAAAAAATCATTATGATTTTCAAAATCAGCATGAACAACTTATTAAGAAAAATTGGTTAAACTCTAAAAAATCTAAAAAAATAATGATTATGGACCCCCTATTTATACCTCAAAATTAATATTCAATACCAAAAAACAAATTTTAAGCTTTGATTTACCATTTCATGTTTTAAGTTTAATAAATTTAACTTAGAAATTATTACACCATTTAAGAAAATATTTGCAAAAAAAAATTTGTAATTTAGGACTGCTAATTAACTTAACAATGTAATTATCCTAACAATGTAATTAACCTAAAAATGTAATTAACCTAACAATAATTGGAAAATTATGGGTATTGAAAATTAAAAAGTTAAAAAATAATTTGAAAAACAGTTAGAAATAAATTTATAATTTATTTTTATAACTTTAAAAATAAAATATAAGTTTATTTCTAAACAAACAGTTAATACCAAGATTAATTGTTTAGAAATAAGTTTTTATTTATAGTTATATGTTATATAACATATTACCAAAAATAAAAACAGTTTACGGACCAAAGATAGGGAAAGACTACATAGAGACCTCAAGTGACTTAAGTCAATTTTTAAAATTAAATTTTACAAAGGTATAAGAACATGCAACATTAAGTAACATTAAGTCTTTTAATAGATTAAATTTGATTTTAAACAATAGTATTGCTAATTAATTACAAATTTGTGCCTGTTTACAAATGGTTGGCAATTGCAATTGATAAACAAGCAACAAAAAAGATAACAAATATAATGTGTCAAGTTTAATTATTCAAGAGTTGTCCGTTTCTGAGGTTTTTTGTTTTTGTTACTCTATATATTACTCAATCACACTTTTTAAAATTACCATTCTTTTTAAAGGTGACATTTTTTATGTTTTATATTTAATTAAAAAAAACTTTTGCAACATTTTTTTTATTGAAAAATGCCTAATCTCTTTTTAAACTTTGAGCGTTTTTTATTACACTTTAAATTTCAGCTAAAGTAATAACAAATAAAATATCAATTAAAAATAAAAGAGTAAACAAATTAAAGTTGTTTGCTCTTAAAGTTAAAATATTTTTTTCTTCAAAGTTCCCATCCATTTCTGTAAATTTCATATTTTGTAAATAATTTTCACGCATTTACTACCGTTTAGATATTGAAACAATGAGACAAAATGACCAATCATCTAGTGATTCTAATGGATATTATCCTGGAATGGGACACGCAGATAATCAAGAACAAATGAACGGACCAACAATGGCTGATTCCAGATCTTCGATGTTTTTTCCCTTGAAAGAGGTAAAATTATATACAATATGAAGTTATCAAAAATTTTTTTTACTGTTATGTAGCTGGCTTTATTTAAAAAATGACAGGCAATGACAACATATGGATCTGATCTACGAGCTATGGATTACCCAGGTGCTAGCAAAAAATCTGAAGTACCTCTTCAAAAGAAAAAAAGAAAAAATAAAGAGTAAATTGAAAAACAGGTACTAAAATAATTATTAAAAAAATATATATATGTTGGACAGTTTTTTCTTTATATATGAAAGGAAAGAGCGTTAGAAATTTTTACTTTATATAAGAAAGGAATGAGCGTTGAAAATTTTTTTGTCACTTTCATTTATGGAGTATTCACATGAAAGTAGAACTTGATATCAGTTTTTGCATCAAGTAGTTTTTAAAAATGCATACATATTCGCTAAGGAGTAGAATAAATATGCATACACATTCGCTTATACTGTTTTTTATAATTATTTAGTGAAATAGACTTACTTTCCGGTAACTATTAACATTAATAATGTTAATATAACCTGCACCTGCAGTGAAATAGACTTACTTTCTGGTAACTATTAACATTAATAATGTTAATATAACCTGCACCGCGACCGTAACTTATCGTTAAAGAAGTTATTTAAATAAAATATTTATCAAAGACTAAGTGTTTAGAAAAATCAATTAGGGAAAATTTTTCTAAAAATATTTTGGAATTATTTAATTTTGTAATTTAAACATAATTAACAAGTATTTAGTTTATAAACATTAATAACATCTTGATATTCTTTCACCTTCCTTTTGATACTCTATAACCTCTATCTTCAAAGGCATTTGGTCCCAAAAAGATTTTTAGGGCCAAATGCCTGTTAGGTATAGAGATAAAATACAAAATTCTATTTCTTGAATTCATAAGTCAGTTGAAAATAAATCTTGCTTTACAAAAGATTTCGCTTTTAAACTAACAAAATAGTTCAGGAATTCGTTGTAATCAATCAAGCTTTTATAATAATGATAACATTTCATGGTTGACAGAAATATAAAGAAATCGGCACGCAAAATTTCATTTGCTAAATTATGTTTTAAAGAGAGTCACGTGTTATATGTTTACAAAAAATAAAACTACAAAAACTACAAAAAAAAAACTTTAGCAATTTACACTTGTGACCTAATATTTTATTTTGATTAACAAACTATACTTTATTTAACATAATTTTATTTAATTTAACGCTGCTTTTTACTATAGATGATGTTAAACCAGCCTCCGTCTTTTCGTATTGGCAAAAAAAGAAATAAAAAATTGATTTTATGATGGTAAAGACAACCGTTTGACCATTGACAATTTTGATTAATAATTGATCTTCGAAAATGGATGAAAACTTTTAATTTTTAGAAACTATTTGTTCACTAATTTTTCTTCAGTCTTTTGTTTTAAAAAGATTGCTATAGATAGAATTTTAGCGCATGACACGATAGTCTGGTCTGGAAAAAATATATATATATATATAATTTTTATCGTTTAAAGTCTTGAAGTAATACTGAGTTCCAAAAAAACCAAAGAAAATCAATGACAGTAAGATTGTCGGCTAAATATGGAATCACATTTGTTTTTTAAAAAGCTATATTTATTACGTAAACAAAACGTAATTTTTGTATACGTATTCTTGTTATGTTTTCTTGTTTCTTGTTATCGTTATTTGTTTTAACATTGAAATTAGACTTTTATTTTTGACGTATTCTGTTTGTAATTTTGTGGAAAAATTGTAAAACTATATTTTCATGTAAAACAGAAGATTCTTAAGTACTTTGTTATATGTACATCTAAAAAAAAAAATAAACAAATGAAAGTTTTTTTCTTGCTAGTTATATTGAGCAGTTATGTTGCAACAGAACACTCGTTTATACAAAACCAGTGTTGGCAGAGCTACATTAAGTCTTAACGTATGTAAACACGCAATGTAGGTTTTTAACTCCTAAAAACGGGTCGGGTTTACACAATCACTCTCAAAGGCAATGTATATAAATATGTTATGGCAATAAATTGACTTTTAAAACGTATTTTAAAACGCAAAAAAGCATAATTATTTAAACAAATATTGCGCAACAATCAAATATATGTATCTTAGTGTAATTATTATATATATAAATATATATATATATATATATATATATATATATATATATATATATATATATATATATATATATATATATATATATATATATATATATATATATATATATATATATATATATATATATATATATATATATATATATATATATATATATATATACCATTACCACCATCGTCATCATATCCATCATTAGTTAAGGCATTATTACACTATAATTACCATGCTTGATGTAATTTGCTAATTGCACTGCTATTTCTTTTAATTTTAAATGCTCTAAACGATATTTTTGCTCTAAACGATATTTTTTTAAATTTACTTTTTATTAAGTAACAGATTTTATCTTTGCAGAAAAACTGAGGAGTTGTTAACAAAACCATAAATATTTTACTAATTCATCTTATAGTATTGATAAGTCTAAAATAAAATGAAAAATAAAATAAATAAAAAACATATATGTGTTTTTATTTAATAAATTTAGTATTTATTATATAGTAAATGCATTTAGTAAATTATAATAGTAAATAAGGATTTACAGCAACTTGAAGTTTGTTTGATTTTGACTAAAAAATGAGGGGGATAAAGTGCAAAAAATGTTTCCGTTTAATATTACCCTTATATGGTACTTGAAGTAATGTCAAGTCCAAAAACTTTATTTTTGTACCTCTCGAAGCAAGGCAATGTAGTTTGTTCTAGGATTCATAAAATGTACCTAATAATGTCAATAAAAAAGGGCATTGTCAATTATAGCTATAAAAAAAATCTGACTGATAGAAAAAAAATATATACTTATTTTCTTAAAGATAAGATATATCAACTTTACAAACCAATTTTTTTTCAGCCTTACGTTTACTTGAGGAATTATTGAGGTTTGATATGAACACAAAATTTTGTGATATTTTAAAAAGCAGGCAATCTACTTCAACTTTTTACAAAGTAATCAAATTAGAAATTAACAGTTTAGTAACTTAACAGTTTTTATTAATTTTTTAGAACAAAAAAAAGTAAGGATAAGACATATAAATCTCAGTAATTTTGAAATGAGTTTAAATATGAAAATCTCTATTTCCTAACAAAAAAAAATTTTTTTTAATTGTTTTTGGCTGAATAGTAGTAAAGTCCTGTTTTTGTAGTCGGTACTTCAACTTTGCAAATGATGTGGACATCATGGAATGCAGCATCGGCTATCCACTGGTGCCCATTTAAACGACCGTGCAGGATCTTTGGACACATATATTTGACAAACATATCTTTTTCTTCTAGATTAACATCTTCAATGACTCCTTTTCACTACTTTTGCTCTTAGGAAACACAGACATAATTACCTGGTACTAAGTTTACAGTTGTTACAGGGATGTTTTCGAAGTCATGAATGAAAGTAAAATCTTCATCAACAGCATAGCTTTGCGCCTATCTAGAAAAAAAATGCATTTATTCAGTTTTACTTATTTTGTTAAAGTTTAACAAAAGAAGTAAAACAGAATAAATGCATTTTTTTTTTAAACATTTAGTAAAACATGTTTAAAAAAATACTTTAAGTGAGGCATGTCTAGATTAAGTAAATAGAGCTTTGATGTTATCGACTCCATAACACTCTTAGACTTATATCAAGAAGTTTATTGGTTGAATTTTAAAATGAAAGCAATTCTATTAATAATATTTGACACAATTTAAGTAACACTAATACAAATTGTTACAGCATTTTAAGTTTTTTTTTATTAAAAATAAATTATAGCTATTCAACTTGTTTTATTCTAAGCAATCTTATGTTTTGTCATATTCTTTTCTTTGTGTGATTTAGTTAGAGAGAAAACAATAACAAAAGACAATTGTTTTTCAATTTAAATTTGAATAAAGTTGAGACTTAGGTCCATTTTTATTGCATACATTACCAGGGGCGGATCCAGCATTTTTTGGTCTTTGAGATAGCTAACTTCCAGACATGAAGCACGCTCCAAACATTTATATGTTTATAATTATGTCAAATAAAGATGCTTTGCAAAAAATTGTGATGTTTGGAGCTTCGGAACAAAAAAGCCCAAAAATTTTCGTCTTCTCCTAGCCCTAAGGCGAGAGCAACAAGTTAATGAAATATTTTTTGTACTATTTTCAACTAGACTTATATTCATCGAAAAATTTTAAATTTCATAGTAAAATATTTAAGTGTTCAAAAATTATGACCATATAAAATTTAAAAAAAAAAAAAATTTAAGGGGGTTGCAAATTTTATCTGGTCATAATTTTTAAATGCTGAGAGATAATACTATGAAACTTGAAATTTATTGATGAGTATAAGTCTAGTTGAGAATAGTATAAAAAATATTTCATTAACTTGTTGCTCTCACGTTTGGGGCTGGAGGGCAAAAATTGTGGGGTTTTTTTGTTCCCTCTAACCATTGCAATTTTTTGCAAACCCTCATTATTTGCCATAAGTATAAACATATAAATGTTTGGAGTTAGCTCCATGTCTGGAAGTTAGCTATCTCAAAGACCAAAAAATGGTGGATCCGCTCCTGTGTTAAACATGTTTTCGTAAATGCATTTAAAAAAATAAGTTTCAAATAATACAAAATTATTTTTGACAATGATTCCACACAAATGAAAAATCTATTCGAGTTTATCAATAAAAATTAGGCGTGTTTTTTAAAAATAGTAAAGGTATATTAAATATATATTTTTTAACCTTTTAATGGTGAAGTGGTACAAACTGATGGTAACTACGTGTTCCAGGTATGGTACATGCAGTATCCAATTGTTTCTTAAGAGTGTTTCTCACCGAAGTTAAATCTTCTGATATATAAATGAAATATACACCTTTAATGTCTCCATTGCAATATTTGTACATTGCTTGTGGAGATAAAACATGATTACCCATATATACTTACATAGTCCTTTTTACCAGGAATTATAAGGCTATATGCATCATCTTTAAAAAAAGACTTGACCAGTTGAACTGTTACATCAGGAAGAACTTTTCTTAATTTAGGATTAGGCTTCGCTAAAATACCTTTTTCTAATGCTAGTTGCCATGCAGTACGAGCTACAGTTTGTTACATGTTTTGTTTTAGAAATTTTTTTTATTGACCAGTCAGTTGCAACAAGCGTTGTCAGTTGTATTTTTTTAGATGTTACTATAGACTCTGCAATTTCATTAGTTAACAATACCATCATGTTATCAAACAAGTTTGCTTTTTCCATATACTCATTACCGAAACTTCACTGTTCTTCAAAACATTCTTCAGGTATATTAAGGGAAGTGATTACTTTTTTTAAGTGGCGGTTGTTAATGCTGTCAATTTTCACTCATACTTTTTGATAAATGTTTCATAACTTTACTTCGACAGGTTGGACACAACGTTTTTCCAGGTATAAGATTTAAATCTACGGTTTCTGCTACGTTTTTACGGTTTCTGCTTCTAATACAGTATGAATTGTAATTACACGCAGAGATGCTGAAAAGAAAATGTAACTATATTACTCAAATACTATAACATTAATTATACTATTATTATAAAACAATGAACAAATACTACTACAAAAAACATATAAACAACTTATTAAGAATGTTATTACGCATTAAAATCTCTACACACTTTCTTACTTGGGTATAGATCCATAATCATTTACAAACGAACAATTGATTTTGATATCCATGTAAAATTATAATGAGGAATTATAATCTAAACACTTAAATAGAAGAAATCTTAAATACAATATTCCTAATGAGCAAAGTACACTTGAGCACAAAAAATATGTTTAACTATTATGTAATGAAAATAACAATGCAAATGACATTAATGTTATGTAATGAAAATAACAAATTTATAAGTTTACAAAAAATTTGACTATACTTTCTGAAAATTTTGTAAAAATTTAAATCACTTAACACAAATACTTTTTTTTTTTAAATTAAACTCAAAATTAGATTAAAAACAAATTTAGCTGTAATTAGTTCAATATCAAAATGAATTTGCTAACTTATTTTTTTTTAATTTCTTCAGAAAAATTGAAAAGCCAAAACATCAATAACTCCTTAGCAAAACATAAGGCCTAAACAAAATTAGTTCGTAAAGTAGATATATGTTTAATCTTTGAGAAAATTAAAACCAAAAGTTTTTTCTATCGGTCAGATTTTTTTTACAGCTAAAGTTGTCAATGCTCTTTTTTATTGTCATTAGTTAGTGCGTTTTGTAAATCTTAAAGTAAACTATATTTTGTTGATTTGAGAGATACAAATCTATAATTTTCAGATTAAAAAGGTTTTAAACTCCTTTGGTATCAAATTTTAGTTTTGCAAAATTACTACAAGCACCTTATAAGACAAAACGGACACATTTCCGTCACTTTCCCTCCCCCCCCCCACCCTGCCCCTCTTTTTTCTGTCAAACTTTAAGTTGCTGTAATTCTTCAAGAGAAAAAAAATTTCTGAAAAAATTCGCAGTCTTTCCTAACTTACATCTTTACACATTTGCGCCAAATTTCAGTGAATTTGGTGATGTAGGGTGCAACCCCTTGTTTTTAAAAATTTTTCACCCATATGTAATTTCTTTATTGCTAGAAGGTAACATGTAGTTATTATTTTTATAGGGTTCCAAGTTTTGGGATTTTCTTAATTTTAAAATAAATTTTGTAACATTTTTTTTTTTGATTATTTTTGGAATAGGACCGTTTTGTATGAGTAAGAAAAATACATTATATTAAAAAGAT